TTACTTTAATACCTACCAATCTTGTCGCAAAACTCAAATATACCAACTGCTTAATTTGTACGTTATTTAGGTATCTACCTAATATTATAGAGTATCTATAGATTAACGTCTTATCCGATATTCCCATTTATACGCAACAAATTCCTCTCCTTAAACATTCACTTTCGTCTTCTCCTCTCTCTGTCGACTTCAAATCACACAACAACTAGGTTATTAACCTATACATTTTTTATCAAACTAATTTAAAGATATAGTATTCAACTATGGAACTCTGCAAAAATTTTAAACACCAATCGTATTCAATGTCGAGCTAAAGCAAAGCATCTTTTTATATTTCACGTACCTTGCAACCAAATCACTCAATACAACAATACTCAATAATCTTGCAATCTTTCCAGTCCATAATGCAGCTAAAATACATATTACTAAAAATGCAATTAAATAATCTTTAAAATCACATAATAATTTTCTAATTAGAGGACATGCCTCAAAAAAAAAGGTTAAACACATAGTAATAGTGGTTTCGTGACCCACTACCAATCTTAAATTGTAATAACTAATAGTTATTAATAACCATTATTAGAAAATATTAAATAATTACATAATTTAATAACATTATATAGATTGCTGCTAAAATAATTACGTTCGTAATATAATTCACTAGATTTCAATTGTTGAACTCATGTGATAGGTAGTTCTTCCGGAGATAAGACTCTTTATTGTATGAAACATGTCATTATTTCTTCATTACAAGTATCACATTAAACCTTCTATTTCATTATAAAACCATCGTGTTTCAAATAAATTTATAAATTATTTCGGGGCACTTCTTTCAATTGTAGATGGATCAGACAACTGATATATATATTATTATTATTATTATTATTATTATAGGTGTGAACGATTTGCGCGAGGTGTAAAATGATAATATAGTTTATATATATAGGTACCTATGCTGTAGCGATGAACGGAGGGTGGTTTTCCTTTCTCTTAATTAAAGTAATGGGATTAGACTAATCCGAGACATAACAGAGGCACAGTCGCAGGGTGGTGAGCCGGATGGTGCTGCGGGGGGAATAAAACGTCTTAAGGCCTCCTCAACTGCGGGGCGGGACTTCGTAACTACACCCCAGAGTACTTCAGGGCTACAGACTTAAATTAATTGCCCCGTAACTCCAACAAAGCGTCTCATCGTCGTAATTTTATTTCATAATAAAAATCGTAGACTTGTACAAAGGGTTTACTCTGTATACATATATAATATAACAATACAGCTACTTTTCGAACACTTACTTTTTTTTCATCTTTTTTTTTTTTATCTCACTGTACTTTATTTTAATTTATTTCGTCCCAACGATTAACAATTACTATACTTCTCATTTCAATAATGTATGCATATAATTACGGCAATAAATTAAACTTTTTATTTGTGGTTTAATAACCACACCAATTTCAACATGAAATATGGAATAAAGTACACTTTTGGCAACTGCAATACATTTTTATTATTTACGTCACGCACCAATGTGTGTCATATATTTTGAACAAAATATTGAATATTATTTTCAGTGAATAAATATTTACTTCATAAACACTTTAATATTTTATTCATTCACTCTGCCTTTAACACTGCATCTACATCTAGTCATTTTTAAATCAACATTAATTAATTTAAATGAACACTTAAATACTTATATTTATTAAAATTTAAGTTGATTTAATTTGATACTGAATATTATTATTAAATGATTGTATTGATAAGTAATAACTAAAATAAACAATGGCATTTATACATTAGTTTTGTTTTCTAAATAGCCTTTTTCCCATTTATACATTTGTATATGAATGTTAATCAGAATAGAGCGTATATATATATATATATATTATATATAAATTGTAAATGTTATAATGTATACAATGTAAATGGATACCTACATTTTTTGATTAGTTCTGTTAGCCAGTTTTTGAGTTAGATAGGTGGTTCAACAAAATATGTAGGTATTTAACTTCTTAGTTTAGTGAAAATGGATAGACATGGACAATAATTGGACTTTTGGAAATTAAGTATATACATATATATATATTATATATATATTATTTAAGTCAGTATTACATAATAATTGCTAACATTTTATCTATTTGGTAACACGATTGCAAACGATTGTCGGCAGATCAAACAAATAATATTTTATACCTTATATTAATTAAACGACTGCGAACGTTTATTGGGTGACGTATAGAAGCTTATTTTAATTTTTAATATCGCTAAATAAAAAAATTGTAATGCTATGACCAAGTAGTCGAAGCAAAAATTATATAAATTTCAAGACCAATAAAAAAAAAAAAATAACATTTATATTCTCAAATCTTATATTGACGATTCTATACTAATATATAAAGCTGTAGAGTTTGTTTGTTTGCTTGTTTGTTTGAACACGCTAATCTCAGGAACTATACTGGTTCGAATTGAACATTTTTTTGTAGGATAGTCCATTTATGGAGGAAGGCTATAGGCTATAATATAACATCACGCTACGACAAATTTATAGAAGCCTGGGGAAGTGCTCAAACAAGGAGTATACGATGGAAATGTTTGTTTATAAATGTTTGCTATTGGTTATAGGAGAAATAATTAATATAAATAGTATTTATTTATTATTGGTTGCTATTGGTTAGGTACAAGTATGCATCAAATCGAATTTTCGCACATTGCCTATACCAAGGTGGCAGAGTTACACTTAATGCAGTGAGTTACACCCAAAAGGAGTTGAACAATCACAATTTTTTTAAAGGTTGTCATTTTTACGGGCCACAAAGTGCGCAGGACCAGCTAGTAATTTCAGCTAGTATATTCTTAAAATAATTACATTTTTGAAACAATTGACAAAAAATCGTATTATTTGAGGTATAGTGTATTTAATAGTGTTTATAAAATTATGTAATTATTTATCGCGATTAATAAATAGGTTGAATTTATTAATTTATAGAAATATAAAAATGTAATAATATAGGTACTACAAGAAACAGTGTAATAAAATAAAACTCAATCATGCAAATTTTACTCAAACTATCCGCAGGAGCTATTGTACTCCATTAAATGCAGGTACCTATACACTTATACTAAATACGATTTGAATGTAATCGATTTGATAGGCGGAACCCCAATTAATTTGTTGGACCCATTTAAGTAGCTGCAAATCACAGTGTAAAAATAGGGAGGAAGGACATTTGGAAAGAGTGAGAGAGAAAGCGAGGAAGATGGAAATGAATAATGAAATAAAGAAAACGATTACGTTAAGCTTTTAATAGCTATGTTGTGCGCTTGTTTAATTTGCCAAATGGTATTAAATGCACATATTCGAATTAATTTTGTTTTTTTTTTTTTTTTTTATCCCAAACCCCTCTAGTTACTGGTACTTAAAACCTTAAGCTTCGAAAAAAGTCATAATAAAAGCGGTAATCAATTAGTATTATTGGCAAGTTAACAGAATGATTGTTAGAATATAAAGTACCTAACTACTGCAAATCGAACACTATACGTAATTATAATATAATCATCATATTTTAGTTATTTTCGAATGTACAAGACAAGATGTATAATTCCATGTTAATGCACATTAATATATAAGTAATGAAACAATCATTTAAACACATCTGTTCATTGGTTTTATTTTGTGGAAGACAAATTATCGCTTTCATATATTTTACATATTTACACCTATAAATATACCATATGTACATTGTACATACTTATAAACCTACACAATTGTATAAGTTAGCATTTCTAATTACACTTATCTATGGAAGTGTATAAGAATTCATTTGTTGTAGGTATTAGGTAATTTATAGCATATTTGTATTAATCCATTAGGACTGACTCACATTTTATTTTACTTTTTAAATTTCACCAATAACATAAAAAAATGTATTTATCAATAACTCGATATATTTATAGGCACAATATTGAATATTGTAATATACCATGACGTGTGTATAGGTACCTACTTGGTACATATTGTCTAATTGTTCGAATGTATATAGGAACCAGATACCTATATATAAATTATAATAATATTTGTTTCAATGAGCACAAATATATATTTAATTAAATAATGAATACAAAACTTTGAGTTTCACTTAGCCATAAAATGGCTACAACAATATTAATTTATTCTGTTAAATAATTTGTTTTACTAAATTATTCTTAACTTACCATTCTGTTATTTATCTTGTAACAAGTTCCTAAAAATTAAATATGTTGCAAAACAGTAGGTACAATTAAATGTTAACCACTAAAAATGTATAATTAACTGAATCACTTAAAATCAAGCTTAATAACAAGAAAGCATGTATATATATGTATACATTAAATGTTTAGCTTGTATATTATAAATTATACAGCTAAAAAAATAACTGAAATATAAAACAATAGTACCTAGGTACCTATATAAATTAACCCTAATTAAAAATGTAAATAAATCTTGATACAATGATCCTTTTATGTATAGTATAACAACTAACATCAGAAAGATAATTCGAAAATCTTGAAATTAAACTTATCGTGAACCATGATTGAAATACACTATATAATATTACTTCAATATTCTAATAGCACATTATTTGTTTTATCTGAAACATTGAATAACCAACTTTACAGAAAAAAAGTACAATAATATATATATAGTCATATTATAATACAATTTTAAAGTATATAGAATTGAATTGAATTATACATTGCTTATGTATAATTTGAAAAAAATAACAATCCTGTAAAGCACTTTAACCAACTAAGAAATAGAAAATGAAAATTTTAAATATTATGTGTTCTCAATAAACTATGGTTGGTTGTTATTTTGGTACAATTTGAATATGTATAATACAATACTATTTAAGTAACCTATAACATAATATAATATAAATTAGATATTTTATACGGAGTATTATATTATACTGTATTTTTATTTTAAATATTTTGTTAACATTCAAAATTAACATTTTAGATTTCAAAGAGCCCAAAGGAGACGGTGTGGAAGACTACCGCCAAACGTTCGATGGTTCAAAAAACAATAACAATAAACAGTTAAATGGTGCGTCCAATAAGCAGAGGCGAAGTAGGACCAACTTCACTCTTGAACAGCTCAACGAACTCGAAAGGCTTTTTGATGAAACCCATTACCCCGATGCATTTATGAGAGAAGAGCTTAGTCAGCGCCTTGGTCTCAGTGAAGCCAGAGTACAAGTTAGTTTTATTCTATAACTTGGACGAAAAAATCCTAAAATATTATGGAAACCGTTAAAATATCAACCTCTGATGTTTTCAAAAATAATTTTTCGAGCAATAGGGCAATTATAAACACGTTCAAACTTTGAAATTCAAACGTCACTATTACAGTGCTCTAACATTTGAATATACAGTTGTACAGTTCAACTTGGTGATTTTTAATTCAATCATATTAAATCACGGATAATATTTTATAACATTTAATTTTAAAAAAACGTACATGTAATTAAAGTGTTAAACATTTTTAGGTATGGTTTCAAAACAGACGGGCCAAATGCCGAAAACATGAAAGTCAGATGCATAAAGGTATGATTTTTAATGCAATAGAACATATTATATTCGGACAATATATTTGTATATTTGTATGATGTTGCTTATCGAGTTATTACTTAATTCAAACGATATTTTTATATATTATTCACATTAAACAATAACATTAAGAATGGATATGTGTAGCAATCTTAAAAAACGTTTAACCTTGTGGCAGTTGTTTTCTATATTAATTCACCCATAGATTTCAAAAAATAATTTTTCATTGTAAAAAAAATAATTTAATACACGATTAAATTTGTTTTCTATTAACCAACCTATTCAAAATACTTTGTATTGTGTGCTTTTAATAAATATACATATTATACTATTTGAGAAAAACTTAAAGTAATTTTTCAACTCAAAACTTTACCAAACTATATAGAATATGTACGATATACCACCTACCTATATAGCTACATTGTTTATAATATAAAAAGGTTATATTATTTAATATTTTACAAACATTATCACTTTTCTTACTATAACTTACCTATGAACTATATTCATTTATTTTTTCCGGCATGTTTAGCTGGAAGACAACCAAATATAATACCAGTTTTAGTATAAAATGTTTAAACTGCAAAAAAAATACAAGTACCATTTAACGTATTTTATCAAAACCGTAAAAAATAAAATGTTTTAGAAGGGTTCCCGCTGCTCTTAAATAAAAGGGAGGAAATCATTATTTTCGAATTATAATAAAAAATCTGATTTTAAATAGTATCGCTTGCGTAAGACATAATATAATAGTGTTACTTTTTTTCATCGCCCGATACTTTAATAAATTGAAATATGAATACTTAAATTTGAAAACCACCCGTGTAATAATAATAATTATTTAAAAAAAACATTACAATACTGTTTTGATGATAACCATATAAATACGTCGGCATATCGTCTTGTTGCCAGCAAGACGTACCTATAATAGTATAAGTATATTATTATAACTAACGAATTATGACGAATACTAGCTGGATTTCGTTTTATTCTAATGTTAACAGTACCTACATATTATGATATTTTGCAATACACGAATACCTCGAGCGAAATCGATGCAGTAAGTATACGCGGCAGTGGTTATTGCAGACAAATATAATAATAATATACACAGTCACTGTGGAATAAAAATCGCACTTGTCATTTGGAAATGAAAAAAAAAATAAACGAGAAAGATAATTTCATTTTAATGTCCGACGGGGGATAGTATTATATTCGCCGACCCGCACTCGCATATATAATATAATATAATCGTATACAAACGCGATTAACGTACCGCAACACGTTTTATGGTCGGTCATTAATATTAATAATGTAAGTATAATTTTTTTTTTTTCGAGCTCGCAAAACAACGACGACGAACGAATTATATTAAATCTGAGCGGGGCCAAAGGCTTATCCGATAAACGGGGCGACTATTGTCCCGATGGCCGATGGTAAAAAAATATATACATGTATATATGATATCGTACAATTATATATAATATCTACAATCTACGGGGGCGTGTGCTTAGAACTTGTAAATGTAATTTGAATCGAAATTTAATTTACTAAAATAATAATTTTATATTGTTTTTGTGAAATCAAATAGAGTTTAATTGGTACAATAGTTCTCGTGCGAGGAATATTAAACTAATACAATTTTTAAACGCGCTTACGATTTTTTGAGTGAAAGGGTGTTGGAAAAATGATCAATGTCTTCTTAAGTAAGTGCATCGTGGCTAAAATACTTAAATACAGGATTAATGATTACTTTTATACTTACTAAAATAAAACGTTTATTTAAAAAAAAACACATATTCGTCTTTTATTGAATAAAAAGAAACTTATTTAGTATTTACAAAATTACAAGGTGCCAGTTATATATACATTGTATATATATTACTTAACAACTGGTAAAATGTGATGCATCTTTGGTGTCTAATACTTACTGTGGTTGTAATTTTTTAAATATTTTAAAAAACGGGAAACTTAAGCGTCCCGAAGGCTTTTGCCGGGAAACCGGGACAGACTTTTAAAATAGGTACGGGACTTTCCGTATAAAACTGGGCTTACATATGATTACATGTTAATTTCGTAGATGTATTGTACATTTGCCGACTACTGCAGGTATGTAGGTACAAAAGAGCAATGAAAATCTCATAAAACGAACGAATGAAATGACAATAGTTCACACAGGTTAGGTTATACATTATATACCATTATAGTGTTCAATCTGTGCTCGTCGGCGGCAGTCTTTGATGCCGTCTTCTCATGACCGTAACTAGGTGGTGGCTGGGGGGCTTAGTATCCCCAAAACTTGTAATAGCCCTTCCCCCCCAAAAAAATTAATTATTCAATTTTTTCCTAAAATATTAATAAACCTTTTAAAATTCAACTGTAGGTAATTCTTAATTTTTTTATTTAAATTTTACAATTATTTTGTATTTCCTACCTATGATAAATATCATTAGCTGTATGATGCCTGTAGTTGTTTTTAAGAAAAGAATATTTGTCGGTACATCAGTACGATTATTATACATCATTTTACAGTATGGGCGCAATTTTGGTTAAATTTATGGGGGTGCTAGATTTATGCTTTGCCCCCACAGCCCCTCCGTTCATACACCTTAATTGTATACACCTTCACATTAATCTTAATATAAATAATTACCCATAACATAATAAACTTCAATCTATATTATTATTCTGATAGGTATCTATCTGAATATGATATGATATATCTGATATGTATTATTATTAAAATGAAAATGATAAGGTCTTAGAAATAAATGTATCCAAATACCTGTGGCATAATATTATATTCAATAAAAATTCGATGATGCGGTAATGCGGTATCAACAATTTTTGGGTGCTAAGCACCCCCCAAATTGCGCATATAACTATACATTATATACTAACACTATGATATATTATTATTGTGAAAAAATAAAAGTTTGTTTTTCTTTAAAAATTGTTTTATATTTTTAAGTGAATATATATGGCTATATGGGGGTGTGAGAGCAACGGCCTCGCGAGTTACTTTTCATGTAACATCAAGGTCCAACATTTTAGCCCTTGTTGAGCAACTGCGTCTCCTACGTGCAAATAATGTCTTTTACAGTTTTACCTATATATATATCATTATATTATATCAACGGATGAAATATGCACAACAGTCGTCCTCGTCGTGTGTTGTCGTCGGTGCTGCTAGCGCGATCAGTGCGAATACGACTGGACCGCGAGGAGGAATCGAAATTGAATTAGTGAAAGAAAAAGAAAAAACAAACAAACAAATCCCTTCCTCCCCCGAGGAGCAGCCACCTTCGCCCCAACCCGGGGGTACGGGAGTTTGCGAATGTTTATGTATATATATTATTGTGTGTGTGTACCGTTTAGCGAGGATCACAGACGGAGAGGGAGAGAGTGAGTGACGGTCCGCTGCAGTAGAACAGTTCTCCTAATCGCTCACTGGGGTGCAATCGGGTGACAATCACTCGTTGCGCCGCACACACACTTAACTTGATTAAGCGACGACTGTATATATATATTTGTGTGTGTGTGTGTGTGTGTGTTATTATGTACGGGTCCAGATTATTTGTAATCCCTCCGTGATCCGTGCAAAACATCCCATATGCGTGTATATGTGTGCCCGAGCCCTTATTATTATTATTGTTATTGTCACAATCGGTGCACTGATAATAATTTATTATTGACCTTCTCGTCGCGTGCGCGCATGCATGCAAGCGGTGCACACGCCACACAGTCGTCCAATAATGCGCCTGTAATGTGTATGTTTTAGACGATCCCGTCTAAAGGTATACATGTATTGTATATCGTTGTTTTCATCGTATTCTGTTGTCTATGTTTTCGTGTATTGTAGCTATTGTATTATTACGGCGTATTAAAATATGTGACGCTTTTCTGCGATGTCGAGTTTTTTACTCCGGTAAGCCTGCCCGTAAAATGTAAAGCTCAACATGTGTCACTTGCAAACACCTAATCACTATATCATGTTATAAGAGTTGATTTAGAATAGGTACGTAATAATTATACAATACGCACATTAGTGGCGTAGTCGGGGTTTTCACTTTTTGGTTATGAAGGTGTGCTGAGAATATTTCGTTGTATAGCCACAAGGGCATAAGGCCATACACCGTATATCGTTTAACTGACTAATCCCCCCATTCTATATTAGAAACTATAATATACAATACTTAAACTATTATCTTATATTTTCTCGACTAGGAACTCTGCTATATATTATTATTTGTATTATTATTATTTGTTTACAGGCTTAATGATGCACCAGAATGTATCTACGCCTCTAGAGCCGTGTCGAGTGGCCCCGTACGTAAACGTGCCAAGACTGCCACAGTTGCAATTCAATTCATCGGCTGCAGCTGCGGCTGCGTTTTCTGCGTTCGATCCGGCCATATTGACTGCCGCACAACAGGTAATTGTTAGTGTATTATCGATTACATATTTAATACTTACAACAATAATAACTCGTCGTTAACAATAATAGAATATATAAAAATTCAACCTGCTGTGTAAAATGTGTAACGGTTCACAGAAATTGTGTGAAACTTGTGCCTAGCCGTGAACTATATTATTGTATTATTATAAATCAAAAAGAAATATATATATTTATTGCAGTTACATTATGCAGTGGCCATGGGAAGAGGTGTTCTGTGCCCTGCGCCGTATCCTCCGGGTGGTCTGAGTCTAGCTGCTCTTGCAGCATTACATCAAGATAGACTGTTAACCAAAAATTCTAGTATAGCTGACTTGCGGTTAAAAGCTAAAAAACATGCCGAAGCCATTAGTAGAGACCAAGAGATTGTTTAACATTAGGCATGACTTTTTTTCGTTATGTTTTTTTTATATACTGTCAACACATTTACATAATACTTTCATGCTACCTACTTCGAAACATCATATTGCACCCACGGTCACGGTGAGAATGGTGACACAGTTCAAAAAATAAATTGCCAATCTTAAGTCTATACTATGTTGTTAATAAATACGTATGATGTACCCCTGCTTGCACGATAAACGTCATATTATTACCTCAAACTTTAAATTTGTCCACCATTGAGCAGTTTTGTCAGTTTTACTTTTAGAAGAATTTATAGTCATCACTTTAAGAACAGTGTCACATTAGTGTTTCAAGACAAATGTGTGGTGCCGTCGGTGAAGAAAAACGACACATTTCGAGTTTTTACCGTTTTAGTTTTATAATTTGTGTTTGAAAAATGACATATAGATATTACTTGAGGTGTTATAACAACAGACAATGATTTTAGAAAAACAAAAAAGTGACATAATAACTCCTTTCGGCTTTATTTTTTTGTCCTGCAAAGTTCCACATCATAATATTCAATGAGATTTGATTTACAGATTCATAAAACTTTTTTAGAATAATAATTCTTTATAATGTAATATAATTTACTGCCAAAAATACTTATCTGAAACTTATGAGAAGCTCGTGCTATTTCAATATAAGTTTCAGTGGCGTATTTAGGTTTTTGTCATGGGGGGATATGATTTCATTCAATAGTCCCGCTTTTAAAGCTAGACGTCTTGAGTTGGGAATCCAAAACATTTTGTTATACCTAAAATTTTCATTTTTTTTTTTTAAATTCCATTTTTTAATTGTGTCGCCTTTCTTGCTGGGGTGCGAGTTATTTAATATGATATTAATATATTATAGGTACATAACTATATAAGCATGAATTAAAAATATTTAGTACCATGGTACTGTGCACAGATTGAAATTTAAACGTTGTTTTCAAATGACTTATTATGAGTACCCACATACCTATAGGTACATAATAAAATTAATAATATATTATTTTGTTCTCGTCGTCCTATATTATAAATACAATAATCTAATAATTAAAATATATTATTCACTACTTATGTAATAATGAACATTGAACACCTATTGACCTAATAACCTACCGATACTTAACGATGATAATAACTTTAATTTACTATCAATTACATGTATATTATTATATTTATTTATTATATTTGTATTTATTATTATTATTATTATTATTATTATTATTATTATTATTATACTGTATGGTCAATGTGGCTATATATACTTACATTGACGTGTTATTACTGTTATATTCAATTGTATACGATAATATACGGTGATTTAATAATACGTGTAAAATAAATTTAACGCTTAACTAAGCATTCGGATTTCAAATTAATGTTATAAACTTACAACAATAAAATATTAAACTTAAACTTGAATTGCTATAGCTAGAATTGTCAAATCGCCGATATGGAATCGATTGTATTTTAGTGCAATAATACAGACAAATCTAACAAATTTAATTTACAAATTAAACTTATAAAACTATAAATTATTTTAGAAATAAGTTAAATGTATAATACTCAAGATAGTATCGTAGATATAGAGTAACTCAAATATTGTAAATGTAAAGTATATAAGTCCCATCGGTATAATATTTTTACTCGTTGAATAATGTACAGTGTTCTCTTGTAAACCAAGAAACTTTTATGATTAAGATTTGTATACAAATATATTCTATACTTGTACGAGTTGTAGATTAAAAACTTACATTTGTGGCTGTTTTAAGTAGTGTTCAAAAATATAGTAGGTAATAATTTGGAAGATTAAGTTAATATATTTATTTTTGTTACCCATATAAGTTTGTCTTAAAATTGTAACACTTGTAATTTTTTACATAATATAAATCCATTTAAACTCGAGGACATAGTTTCACAAATGCGCGTTAAAAATATATTATTATATTAATAAAACAGTTTGATTGATTGATTCATGATTATAATATTTTAATGCATGTACTGTGAATAGGTAACCTATAAGTACTATTTTAATATGTTCCAATCAAAGTTGAAAGTTATACCACAAATAATTATGTGGTCAACTTGTCAGTTGTCACTGCATGCTCTGTATTATTTGATCGAACAGGTGCGTGAAAAATTACCTCAACAAAGAAATCTATTGAAAAATATAAAGGTCGTAATAAATCAATAAATGTAACTTATAGATTCTTGTGCAATAATAGGGGATCGAGTTATTAAAAAATTAAAAATTAAAAAATGTGCCTAAAAAGAAAATTCCACATTATTATATCTATAATATATTATTTCATCTTATAGGTAGGTAGCGTTTTTTTTTTTTGTAAAACCTCACTTATTCTTATTATTAATTATTATTATTATTATGATTAGGTACCTATTATTTTATGTAATAATATTTTTTGTATCATTATTATTATTGTTTGTATATTATTACAGTTACTCGTGTTAAGTGTTACATTATACGTTTTACTAATTTGTAGATGGTTGTAACATTTTGTTTGTAGTTAAAACTTTTGTCTAGTGAAAAAACATGATATTTTCCTACATGCGGCTACATACAATATATTATAATTCAACGTAAGTGATGGGTTTATATATTATAAAATGCATAGTAAACAATATAATTATTGTTATGTTATATTGATGTTATGTTATATTGACCATGTGTCATACATTATATCAAACAAAAACGATAATATATTGTGGTGATGCTGCAATGGTGTGCTCATGTGTTTTGTGGGTTTCTGTAAACACATAATATTATATTATACTTATGCGTCTGTCGCTTAGCGTGTGTTTACTGTGGATTTATATTTATTATTTTTTAAATATAATTTCGAAAAATTATTATTTTGTTTAAAATCGCACAAACGATGTTGAAATTAATAAAAAAAAATTAAAATAAATTTTTTCTGTTACTTTAGAATTTTTTTATATCTATTATAGTTTACTATATTATATTATTGCTCGTTCAACCATAAAAATATAACATGTGAACGATTACAATTTTAATTTGTAGTTACCTATGTTAAAATGAAAAATTGTAGGTATGAAATCTAAACTATGAACGAATTACAGAAGCTGATAATGAAGATAATTTATTATATGTGTGGAAATATTAAACGTGAATAGATTATGGAGAAACTTGAAAGAAGGTAGATCAGTGGAATGGTTATGGAATTTAAATTAAAAAATGAAGATAAATTTTGGTTTGCATATGGATTATATATTTTCATTCTGGGCTGGGTATGAGCATCTGGAACTTCTGTGTTCTGTTGGGGGGTCCTTAGGATACGTTTATTTATTTAATTGAAACTGTGAGGAAGAAAAGATTGTTTATTGTGGAGTATAGAGGAAAAGTTTTAACTTTTTATAAGACGTGATAGCCTTTATAGTTTATAATAATATGGTTGGTGGAGCGCTCGCCGGAATATAAATCGCATTTGGCCGGTATAGGTATCGACTTATTACAGTATTTAATATAAGATGATCCAAGCTACATTTAGCACAGCATGGTGAATTAGTGACTATTAGTGCTCCTGTACGACTAGCCCCGTTTACATTATGACTGTTGGCGAACTTTTCTGAGTTTTTCGACGATGACTTCGAAGTTAAGCAATTTTGTTGGCTTAATATGTTCAAGTTCCATTAATTTTTTACAGTATTCATACAAAATACTTGCAGATGCAGTCTGTTGGTCCTCGAGAATATTTTAAACATTTAGAACCGAGAATCCCATTTCTTCAATTGACTGTTTTAATGTCCTCGTTGGGAAATGGAGTGATGTAGATGACGAATTACAGCTTTGATTGGATGGACATGGCGATGTATGACAAATCTGATTTCATATGATATTGAGATATTCCATTATTTTTTTGTTTTTGTTCAGTGTTTTCATTTTTAGGAAATCTTTTGAGATTATAAACGTAGACTCAGCTGATCCCAAGATATGGATACGATACCTAGTGGTTTAGTGCATTGAGGTTAGTAATATTTTTAACGAATAACCCCATCGTTTTCCGTCCAACGGATATCACCTTGAGTAGGAGGCAGATCTGTGACCGTAGGAGGTCTAAATACATCAGGTAGGTAGCGAGCTGTTAAGTGAGGTGCGCATATCGGTTTGGTGAAACAAAATGTTTGTTTTTATTGTCCAGCTTCGGATAGACGACGGGGATAGTGAAGATGACGATAAATATCGTTTTGATTGGTTAATATTTCGAATTTATGTATATGAAATGTATATATTATATAACTTGATATAATATGTACAATTCAACAATTGTACAACTCTGTTTTTTCCGAGGCATCGCTTATCTGTTACCGTAACTGGCGTAACTATATACGAGTATATCTCTCGACGAGAGCGATAGAAGCGTATGGACGATGCGATGGTCGGCAAAGAACCGAATATGTATATAGTTAATTACATAATATAAGTAATATTATTTGAAAATACATTTAAATTTTAAATACATATTTCCGAATTATAAGTAATATACATATTATTTTACATGATATTCAATTATTCAAACGTGGTCGTGGGCACGCACCTATATTATAATAGACGTAACTCGAATAGTTTACCCGGGAGGAGACGGAAGGTCTGTCCTGCATATTATTTAGCACTGCAATATTATGGCACTATAATATACTATAGCAGACAGGTAGGTGTGTACGGAGACACCCTGCTATGGTATATATCCTTCTGGCGCGTGAGCGTCGTTGGCGTTAAAAAAAAATATAATGTGGGGTAAATCTCGCGTACGTTCGCGATGTACTGCAACTGTATATATATATATTATGTGCGTGTATGCATATTGTATATTTGTATGTGTATGCGCAGACTTAACGGCGTTTTAATTCAATCTGGGAATAGCAATCGTGGATCGCTCGCCCCCCCGTCGGCATAAATCGCGTTCTCTGGCCTCCCGCGTGATATATGGCCGGCGTGGGAATCACTGCGCCGCGCACCGCCG